CAGGCTTGCAGAATGCCAGAGGTGTGGAGACTTGGGAGCCTCCACCCCAATTTCAAAGGATATAGGGGAAAGCCTGGGGGGCCCCGGAAGAGATCTGCCACAGGCAGATTCACCACAGAGTGTTCAATGAAGTGATGCCTAGAGGAAATGTGGAGTTGAAGTTGCAGCAGAAAAACCCTACCGGTGCCATGCATAGTGGAGATGTGGGAGCGGGACCACAATGGACACCCCAGAATTGTGGAGCTATCAGCATGCAATGCCAGTCTGCAAGAGCTGAAGCATGGCCTAAGACCAGGAAAGCCTTAGGAATGGAGATGCCTGACAACTTGGGGACCCAACCCCCACACCAGTATGCAGAGGATGTGGAACATGGAGTCAAGTTACATGATTCACCAGCTGTAAGATTTGATGCCTGCGCTGCTGGGTTTTGGACTTGTTTGGAATCTGTTACACCTTTCTTTTAGCCTATTTCTCCCTTTGTGAATGGGAATACACACCCTATGTTTGTCCTACCATTGTATCTTGGAAGTTGATAACTTGTTTTGAATTCACAGATGGGACTCTGAGACTGGACTCTTGAGTTGAAACAAGTTAAGACTTTGGGGATGAAATGAAGATATCTGCATATGAAAAGGACTTGAGTTTGGGGGAGCCAATAGTGGAATGCCTTGGGTTGAATGTCCCCCCAAAACTTAATCCCCACTACAACTGTTGGGAGGGTAGGAAATCCTATTATGGCAATTGAAAGGTGGGGCCTTGAAGAGGTGATTAGATTGTAGGACCATGCCTTAGTGAATGCATTTAAAATGGTGGTCATGGATGTGGTTTGGAGGATTTTAAAAGGAGAATGAAAGAGGAAGTTAGTCTCTCTCTCTGCTCCACCATTTTTGCAATGTGATATTCTGCCATCACTGTCACCACCACCAAGGCCCTCAACCAGATGTGTTCCCTGGACTTTGGACTTCTAAGCCTCATAAACTGTAAGCAATAAATTTTGTTTTCTTTAAAAATCACCCAGTTCCATGTATTTTGTTATAAGCAACAGAAATGGACTAATGCAGTTTGCTAGACTCATGTGCTAAGTTTATTTATTTATTTATTTGTTTTTTTACTGTTTTGTGAAAGATTTACATATGATTTGAATTATTTCTTCCTTAAATGTTTGGTAGAACTTGTCCCTGAAACCTGGGCATGGGGTCTATTCTGGGTAAGATTTTTGATCACAGATTCAATTTATGGAGTGGATACAGGATTACATAGGTTTTCCAATTTTTTCTTGAATCAGTTCGGGCAAGTTAAATTTTTCTAAGCAATTATTCATTTCACCAAAATTTTTAAGTTTACTGATACAGGTGTTCATAATACCTTGATATCATTTTTTTTTTTTTTTTTTTAAAGATGACCGGTAAGGGGATCTTAACCCTTGACTTGGTGTTGTCAGCACCACGCTCAGCCAGTGAGCGAACCGGCCATCCCTATATGGGATCCGAACCCGGGGCCTTGGTGTTATCAGCACCGCACTCTCCCGAGTGAGCCACGGGCCGGCCCCTTGATATCATTTTTAACATCTGCATAATTTATATAGGGATGTCTTTCTTTCCACTTGTTATATTGTTTACTTGGGAATTCTCATTTTTTGTTTTCTTGTTAAACCTCTCTAGAGGTTTTGATAATTTTATTGATCTTGTCAGAGAAACTACAGTTGTCTCTGTTGATTCTTATTGCACTGTATAATTATTTTCTATTTCATTAATATCTGTTCTTATCTTTATTATTTCCTTCCTTCTACTTTCTTTAGGTTTATTTCACTATACTTTTTCTAACTTTTTAAAATAGATTACAGCTCTTTAACTTCCAGCCTTTCTTTTCTATCACATGCATTTAGAATACATTATAACATACAACCCTATGAAAATTTAGTAATAATAAATCTTTCCTTATCTTCCAGACAATACAAGAAGCTTTAAACACTGTAACTCTGTTTATTCCTCTTCTAAATTATGTGCTATTGATGCCAAGTATTCTAATTTCATATACAGTACACTCCAGAAAATTATTATTGCTGTATATAGTCAATGTTCATTTAGATTTACCATACCTTACCATTCTCTCTGATTTTCATTTGGTTTTTGATCTCTGATCTTCTTATATGGGGTTACCTTCCTTCTACTAGATGTATATCCTTTAGAATTTTTTCTGGTAGTTAACACTCTTTGATTTGTATAAAAATGTTTTTATTTCACCTTCATTTCTAAAGGATATATTCACTGGGTATAGAATTCTAATCTGGCAGATATTTTATTTTCAACACACTCAAGATAAAATTACACTATCTTCTATCTTCCATTGTTGCTTTTGAAAATAACCTGCCAGTCTTTTGTTTTGAAGATAATCTGCTATTTTTTTCTAGCTGTTTTTTAAATGTTCTCTGTTTTTGATCTTCTATAGTTTCCCTGTGATGTGTCTAGACTTGAACTTCTTTACACTAATCTTGCTTGAGATTAACTGAGCTTGTTGATTCTGTAAATTGGTACCTTTCATTGGATTGGAAATATTTCCAGCTTACCTCTTCAAAAATAATTTCTGACCCTCCCACCCTTTTTCTCTCTTCGTTTAACAGAAAATTCAAGTTACACAAATCTAGGCTTCATGTCTAGTCGAGACCTTATTTAATTCCAGTTCACTCTTACTCTGAATAACCAGCATTTTGGGACCTGACTTTAAAATATGTAAGGACTGATCATCAGACACCCTATCCCAGGAGAACCTACGCTTTTATTTTTAATCCCTCTTGCTCTATGAAGTCACAAATATCATCTATTATCAATTAATTCACTATCTATAAGACTCATTAGATTCCAAACTACCGGGTAGCATTCATCAGACACCCTATCCCAGGAGAACCTACGCTTTTATTTTTAATCCCTCTTGCTCTATGAGGTCACAAATATCATCTATTATCAATTAATTCACTATCTATAAGACTCATTAGATTCCAAACTACCGGGTAGCACATAGATACATGAAATGTAAACATGATTTTTTGGATGCTCTCCTTAGTCTTACGGTGACCTCCTTAGTTGCAATTACAGCCGAATTTTAAGTTACATTCATTCAATTATCTGATTAATATAAATATACATATTTCTCAGTTATAGCTGAAATCTTTATTATAGCTACTATGGACAATTTTTTTCCATAAGAAGTGTTAGTCTCTCAGCAAGAGGAGCCCAATTTCTTTTTTTAAAAAATATTTTGATATTAGGGGGAAAGTCTACAGTATATTGGTGAAGAGCAGAGTTCCAAAACCAGATTTTTTGCATTCAAATCATGGTTCCCATACTTAGTAGCTGTGTTACATTAGGCAGATTACTCAATGCTCCTCTGCCTCAGTTTACTCATATGCTATGCAGATAATATTAGTACCTACCTCACAGAATTATTATAAAGATCAAATGAATTAATATTTATGAAATCTGAGAAAAAACCAGGCATATGTATGTGCCACTTACATGGTTAAGTTAATAAAACCAATATATGCCGGAGACTTGTTAGCTGACAAATATTTACAGAGCATATACTAGGAGCAGAATACTCTCCTCCTAAGTTTCATTCATGCATTCACTCATTCAACAGCTATTTACTGTCTACTACATGCCAGGCACTGTGCTACCTCCTGAGGATACAGCAGTGAGAAAACAGATGCAACAACTTTCTTCTTGGAGCACAAAAAAAGCCAAAGAAATAAGAGAGATGATACCGCCACAAGCTGGTAACACTGGGAAAGAATTACAAAGCAAACTGTCTCAGCAGAATAAAGACAAAGAATAAAGGGATAAGAAGGTATTAGTAAAAATTTATTAAATTAAATTGAATCAAAGTAGGGTAGAAAATACCTGAGAAGGTTATAGGAGTAAAGTTTTGATCTATATATAGAATATGTGATGAATTCAAAATGTAGAGGGGTTATTCCCATTATGGTTACAAACCAAGGTAAATCAATGCTGTCACTAGCAGGACATGATAGGAAGCACACTGTGTCCTCTGTGAAGCTTTAAAACTTTCAAAATTTTATGTAGAGCTAAGTTATAAACAGTAGAATTATTAAGGCATTTTTTCAGAATTAAATTATCAGATACCCAAAAAAGAAATATCTGTGTGAATAATATTGAATGGCATATAAGAATATTAAAACTTATATATACCTATCATCTTATTTTCAACTTCGAAATTGTTCTGCTTTGTTGGGAAAACAGGATAGTTTAATCAGGGCCCCTCACCTCAGGTCCAGTTGGGGGTGGTGTGATGCATTCTTTGTAAATTAAAGTTGTGTGTGGGTGGAGTTAGCAAGCATGGGCATCCACCCTGCACAGCCACGCCTTCGAACCTATGGCTCCAAGGACCTTTTGGCCAGTTACCTAGCTCACAGACCTGCGTGTGAGGGATCTGGTGACCCAGCCTGGCGTATGAGGGGTCTGGTGACCCAGCCTGGCATGTGAAGGGTTTGTGACCCAGTCTGAACAGGCGTGAGGGGTCTGTAAGCTTCAGACGGTGACCCAGCCTGGCGTATGAGGGGTCTGGTGACCCAGCCTGGCATGTGAAGGGTTTGTGAACCAGTCTGAACAGGCTTGAGGGGTCTGTAAGCTTCAGAGCCAGCCCTAGCTCAACAATTGGCCCAGTTGGCAGGATTACAGGCAGGTAAAAGAGCACGACCATTGGAGATGTTGGCAGGATGCCAACATTAGCTGTAGTGCTACACCCTTTTTCAAAATAAATTGATATAAATTCCTAGATAAGTAAAAATTCACAAAAGATCACTGACGTGTTCTAAAAATGTTCAAAGAAAATGAAAGGAGGACAAACAATCAGGATTAGTCTTCATTTAAAAACCAAAAACATAAAAAACAACCCTACATAAAGCTGCTTACTTCTACCCATGGAGTTTTCTTTGTAATGAAAAGAATATAGAATACTGAAATTGAAAGAAAAGAAGTACATACCTGCCTTCTGTACTCTAAAAGAGGGTCATATAGCTTCCACCCATTTTCAGGGAAAACTTCTTTGTATTCAAAAGCAAAAAGAGGCTACAAAAATATAAACAGAGTTATTTGTTTAAAAAGACATTTAAGAAGGCAATGAATCAGAAATGCATCCTTATCATACCCAAAGTTTTCATTTACTTATCTGCAAGAATATTTTGTATGGGAATCCTTTTTCTACCCTGTTGCTTTAGTTTTTATTCTATAATTTTGAAAATTTATTGTTTTTACATATTTTTCAAACATATAGCAAAGCACAGAGACCCAGCAAAATTTATCAAATGCTACTGTATCATTGCATTTCCTTCACATATCTACTTCTAAATATTGAAAGAAAATGCATTTTAAAATGGTATCTTCTGATATAATAGACTAGTCTGACATCACAGACATCAACAGTTAAGCAGCTATGAAGTTTATGCTAAATTTTCCAAAATACACTAAGCTTTTTATTTTTTGGCATGCAACAAAAAAATGAAATTTATCATTTTTATAGACAAAATGGCAGAAACTATTATGTAAAATAAGAAATTTCAAACTGCAGTCAGATGACCAGTGTTGACTCCAAATTCTATTCCCTACTAGCCATGCTCTTGAGTCAACTGTTTGCTGATCCTGGTTTCACCTCCAGAATAGGGATAAATAATCTCTACTACCACAGGGCTACTGTGAAACTGAAGTGACATAACATAAATCAAGGAGCCTATCACTGTTGATAGTACACAGTAGGAACTCAGTATTTGCCCATCTTTCCCTCCTAAATTACTAGTTTTTAACTGTCAGCTCTCAATTAAAAAGGAGATTTCAATCCCAATCAAGACTACATATATAGCTTTTCATCATAACATAAATCAAGGAGCCTATCACTGTTGATAGTACACAGTAGGAACTCAGTATTTGCCCACCTTTCCCTCCTAAATTACTAGTTTTTAACTGTCAGCTGTCAATTAAAAAGGAGATTTCAATCCAAATGAAGACTACATATATAGCTTTTCATCGTGGAAACAGCATGGATAGAAAGATGATATAATTATAGAATACTAGCTCTGGAATGGACCTCAGAAATCAGCTAGTCTAGCTTCCTCAATTCATACCTAAAGAAATTAGCCTAAGAGATTAGGTTAAACCTAAACTGTACATCTGGTTAAATGTCAAAGCAGGGACATAAATGTCAAGATTCTAGATAGCCTACACAAGTTTCTTTACACCACATCAATAATTATAGTATATATTTTTCAAAGATTTACCAGGCTATTAGAGACAGGAAATGCATATTTCATTAGATTCTCAAATATAGATCTTCTTGTTCGTCCCTCAGGTTTATGAGCAAATCGTAAATTCCTAATATCCTAGAAAAGATTTAGAATCCACGTTAATCATTGTTGACTTTTTATTTAATCAGTAAATAAGGTTACTTGCAACTATCTTGTAAAATGTTAAGATCTATGAACGTGGGATGCAAAAATAAATCAGACAACAGCTCCTGGAGGCAGGGAAATTATAATGGTTTATTAGGAGAAATAAAAAGAAACACAAGTACTCTAATACAAGGCAGAATTCGGAGGGGAGAAAATTTACCTATGCTTATGGACCCAAGATAGGGCAGTGTAAGAGGTAGCATTTGACGTAAGCATTGGAGATTAGAGATATTATATCTGAAGCTTAATATCATGACTGATACATTCAATTAGCATATGTCCTTCCCCCGTGAAAGCCTATTTTGTCATGAATTTCCCTATTAAAAACCTGATTAGCTGTTGTTATACTTCATATGTGTCTTCATTTCCTTTGTGTTAGGTGACTACTTTCCTACTTATTCCTTCCCAGGATGCATTTCCATTGGATCTTCTCTTTGCAAATCCCCTGCTGCTATAATACAAACTCTGCCTAAAGGTGTTCCTACACTCCATGTCCAAGTTCTTCCACTTTTACTTGCAAGTAAACTGAATAATTTGGTTGATGTTATCCAGTTTCTACAGTCAGGTCTAAAAACCAAGGTTCCCTTCCACTATTTGCCTTCAAGCAATTTTCTATGCTCAGGCTGAATGCAGATATTAATTTTCTGGTTTACTGATATCTTAACAGCACTAAGAAAAATATTTGGGATTAAAAATAATTTCAAGACTATTTTATTTAAATGTTTTAATCTAGGCAGAATTCAAACTAGCATTATTATACCTTATTTTGTAAAACCAAACACAGGGACAATACACTACAGTGTACCTACAATTCACAAACAAGCAAAACACTGTATTACAAAACTGATCCAATACCAGAATGCTAGCTTTATCATCTTTTAAAATATACACGTGCAAGAACCTAAGCTGATATCTTGTTTTCCCTTGTAAATATCTTTATTACTAGTAGAGATACTCAGAATTACTCTGTTAACCACAGAGCTCTCTGAAAATACCATAATAGAGGCCATAGAAATGTTTGGGTGTATTGATAATGGTCTTATTTAATGGAAAGAATTATATTTAAAATGATCAAGATTTTAAAGTCATCCTCTTTCACATCATCTTATATTCTATGGTCTATTTGCTATTAGACTACAGAAAAGTGCTGAGGAGATGGTGCGCTTGACATAAAGTTGATAGCTATTACATTCACAGAGCTGTTCTGAATATAATGGAAAAACATAAACTTACTAAGTCGTTAGCTTTACTACCAGATTCACAAAACTTCCAAGATTAGCTTAAGAAAGTATCTTGAATTATACATGTACTGTTTCTTTTAATTTTGGCACTGGCAGAACAGCAAAAGAAAGGAGCGATGGGATCTAGAATTGACATGTGCACAGATAATATTTAGGCCATAATAAGGAGAACAGTGACCTGGAGAAGTGGTACATAGTATTAAATACCTATGACTTAATGGTAAAAATGTAATCAAAGGTTCAATCAATTATCAATGCATTTAGAGAATGCCATTAGACATGAAACTGGGGAAGGTATACAACATCAACTTTTTCCCACCATTGTTTCGGAAACAGAAATATTATGAGAACCAGAAACAGAAAACAGAAAACATAGGTGATAACGAATATATCATATCTAACTCTTCTACTACAAGGTACTATGCTTTACAGGAGCCAAGGGCAATCCCCTCTGCCCGGAAGCAGTGAAGAGAGCACACTAAAAACAACACTTCCATGTGGGTGGCTAACCACAGCCACAACCACAGCCATGGCTGCTGCAGAAACAGTGCACCACCACAGCAGTAGCCTTAGCCACCATGACTCAGCACCGGAGACCAGAAAAAGAAGAGAAAGTCGCTCTTCTCAAAGCCCATTCCAGAGTAACAGAAGAAGCAACTGCTCTACCAAATGACCAGACATCAACCTAGAGAAACTAGAAATACAAAAACCCAAGAAACTATGACACCACCAAAGGAATACAGTAATTCTCAAAGACTAGACTCTATAAGAGCAGGAAACTCTTGAAATGACTAAAAAGAAATTTTGAGAAAAAACCTGAAGGAAACACAATGAGATACAAAAAGACTCAGACAACATACTGAAACAAGAAAAAAAATCCAGGATATGAAAGAGGAAATTTACAAAGAGATTAGTACCTTAAAAAAGAATGTAGCAGAACTCATTGAATTGATTCAGTCAACAAAATAAAAAACACAACCAATAGCTTAAGCAGCAGGCTAGAACAAGCAGACAAAAGAATTTCTGATCTTGAAGACAGGCTTTTCAAAATAACTCAGAAACCAAAAAAATAAAAATAAAAAGGAAAAAAGAATTTCTAAAAAGACAGAAAATCTCCGGGCCAGGGGAGTGCACGCCGACCAGAGACATGCCCCTGGAGAGGCCTGAGAGCCATGGAAACCACATGACAGCAACCACATGCCCCAAGACAAAAGCATGACCAAGCAGGTAGGTGCTGCTGCCACCGGACCCCCACCAGCCCAGCAAGTGTGCACTGACCAGAGAGGCCCCCCTGGAGAGGCCCGAGAGCCATGGAAACCACATGACCTGAGGTGCCAGCATGGGAACAGGTAGGCACCGCTGCTGTACTCCCAGCCCAGCTGAATCTCCACAGCCCAGAGAGGCCCAAACCTTCCGCCCACAGGCACTGAGGCAGCCATGCCAAATTGGCAGTCCTGGCAGGATCCTAGCTGGACAATACTGCCAAATGAGTAGACTGTGAAATCCCTTACCACAATGACTAAACACCAAAGGTAAGATACCAGAAACATCAAAAATCAAGAAAGTAGGGCCGGCCCGGTGACGCACTGCTACAGTGTGCCGCTTGGGAGTGCGGCGGCGCTCCCACCGAGGGTTCGGATCCCACATACGGACCGGCCGCTCACTGGCTGAGCGAGGTGCAGGCGCAACACCAAGGGCNGGTTCGGATCCCACATACGGACCGGCCGCTCACTGGCTGAGCGAGGTGCGGGCACAACACCAAGGGCTGCAATCCTGTTGCCGGTCCCGGTCCGGTACAGGCGCAACACTGAGGGTTGCGATCCGTTGCCGGTCACGAAAAAAGACAAAAAGGAAAAAAAAAAATCAAGAAAGTAAACCACCAAAGGGTAATAACTCTCCATCTCTAGATCCCATAGAACAAGAAGCCCTTGAGATGATTGATAAGGAATTTCAAGCAATAATTCTATGGAAATTATACTGTATCTAAATGAGATACAAGAAAACTCAGGAAGACAGCACGATGAAACAAGGAAAAGTATACAAGACCTGAAAGAAGAAATTTACAAGGAAATCAATACCCTGAAAAAGAATGTAGCAGAGCTCGAGGAGCTGAAGAATTCATTCAAGGAAATAAAGAACACAAAAGACAGTTCAACCAGCAGGCTTGCAGAAGCAGAAGGGAGAATCTGACCTTGAAGATGGGCTGTTTGAAATAACAGAGGCAGACAAAAAGAAAAAAAAAAAAGAAAAAAGAATTAAAAACACTGAAGAAAATTTAAGAGAGATATCAGACAACCTTAAGCACTCAAATATCCGAGTCATAGGCATTCCAGAAGGGGAGGAAAAAGGAGATTGCATCAAAAACATATTCAACAAAATAGTGGCAGAAAACTTCCCAGGTATAGGAAAAGACATAGATCTTCAGATTCAGGAAGCTCAAAGATCCCCAACTGTATTCAACCCAAAAAGGTCTTCGCCAAGACATGTTATAGTCAAATTGGCAAAACTCAAAGACAAAGAGAGAATCTTAAAAGCTGCAAGAGAGAAGCATCAAATCACCTATAAGGGAGCCCCAATCATACTAACATCTGACTTTTCATCACAGCCCTAAAAGCCAGAAAAAAATGGAATGATATATTCAAAATACTAAAAGACAGAGACTGCCAGCCACGAATACTTTACTCCACAAGGCTATCCATCTGAAATGAAGGGCAAATAGTAAATTTCTCAGACAAACAAAAACTGCAGGAGTTCACTACAACATGACCAGCCTTACAAGAAATTCTCAAGGGAATACTGGGTTTGGTACCTGAAAAATAACTACCACTGCCATCTAAACTCAACAAAAATCAAAACCTACTAGTAAAATAAAAATGCTAACAATAAAGAGAAAAAAAAAAAAGCTTATCTACCACCAAAGAAACCAACAAATGAAGTCAAACTGTTCCTGTTTGCAGATGACATGATCCTATATATCAAACAGCCTAAAGCCTCTATGAATAAACTCTTGGAGTTGATAAATGATTTCAGCAAAGTTGGAGGATACAAACAACACACAAAAATCAGCAGCATTTCTATTCTCCAATAGTGAACATGCAGAAAGAGAAATCAAGAAAGCTTGCCTATTTACAATAGCCACCATAAAAAATAAAATACTTAGAAATAGAGGTAACCAAGGATGTGAAAAATCTCTATAATGAGAACTACGAACCACTGCTGAGAGAAATTAGAGAGGACACAAGAAAATGGAAAGATATCCCACGCTCTTGGATTGGAAGAATTAACATTGTGAAAATGTCCATAGTACCCAAAGTGATATACAAATTCAATGCAATCCCCATCAAAATTCCAATGACATTTTTCTCAGAAATGGAAAAAACTCTCCAGACATATATGGAATAACAAAAGACCATGCACAGCCATAGCAATTCTTAGCAATAAAATAAAGCTGTAGGCATAACACTACCTGACTTTAAACTATACTACAAAGTATAATTTAACCAAAACAGCATGGTAGAGGCATAAAAACAGACACACTGATCAATGGAATAGAGTAGAGAACCCAGAAATCAACCCACACACCTACAGCCATATGATTTTTGACAAAGGCACTAAGCCTTCCTTGGGTAAGAAACGGCCTCTTCAGCAAATGGTGCTGGGATAACTGGATATCCATAGGCAGAAGAATGAAACTAGACCCATACTTCTCACCAGATACCAAAAATAACTCAAGATGCATTAAAGAATTAAATATATGTCTTGAAACAATAAAACTGCTTAAGACATAGGAGAAACACTCCAGGAAGTGGGACTCGGCACAGACTTCATGAGTATGACCTCAAAAACACAGGCAACCAAAGGAAAAATAAACAAATGGGATTATATCAAACTAAAAAGCTTCTGCACAGCAAAAGAAACAATTAACAGAGTTAAAAGACAACCAATAGAGTGGGAGAAAACATCTGCAAAACATACATCTGACAAAGGATTAATATCCAGAATACTCAAGGAACTCAAGCAACTTTACAACAAAAAATCAAGTAACCCAATTAAAAAATGAGCAAAAGAGCTAAATAGGTATTTCTCAAAGGAAGATACATGAATGGCCAACAGACACATGAAAAAATGCTCAACATCACTCAGCATTCGGGAAATGCAAATCAAAACCACACTGAGATACCATCTCACCTCAGTTAGGATGGCTAATATCCAAAAGACTGTGAATGATAAATGCT